AAACTTCTCTCAGAGTATACCACATCTACTGAGCACTTTGAGTTCAATCGCTCCGATTCCTGGCAAGTGCGCAGGATCCGTTCGCGCCAAATCTTAGGATAGGTCAAGGCTTTGTTGTCTTGAAAACAACCTGATGGAAATTCGTCAAGCTCCAAGTCTCAAATCTCGCTGCATTCTCTGGCTTAGATCTCCGCGTGAATATAAAATTTACCTAACATAAAAAAGTCTTTAGTCTTGATGGATACACTGATGGTATGAAAGTGAAGGAAACATAAAGTTCCCTTAGAGGTCCATTGTGTTTCGTTACGTGATTCACTGAACCAGTCAGTAGATGATGAAGCTGTGTCGTGGTCTATGGTATTTCGAGGACGTCTGTTGTCCCTGAACAGCTGAAAGAAGGCAAAGTATCCCATTCGACGGAGCTTTGTTAACCTCTGGTTAGAACTATCTCTTGTGACCTTGGACAATATGTGGAAATCTGGACACTACTGGTTCCTGATGACGAAAAACAGAGTTCATTCGCGACGAGATATATATGTAGGGACACACGACGAGACCAGCAGCGTAGCGTTCCCCTTAAATTCTGGCATTTCAAAGAAAATTTTTAAATTGCAATTACTAAGGTTTCTTCCCCCTCCCTCCCCCCGACCCCAAAAAGAAGACCTGGGGACCCATTTTGATCAATTAAAACATTAATTCTCTGTCTCGTTCCCTTTTTTTTCCTTTATGTATGTATTTGGTCATATTTGCGTGCTGTGAGAAGGAGACACTCCAGTGAGATCGATTTAAGCAACAGATCGCGTGACTTACCCGAGTTGAAGACGATGATCTGTAAGCAAACGTTGACTTATTGCCATGTCCCTGTTGATCAAAGGAACGAAATAACTTCTCGTTCATATTCAAACAAAAAAAAAAGGTCCAAGTTGAATAGTTTTAAAAGACACAGAACAAGAAAGTCAAGATGAAGAACCTTTTGATTTTGTGTCTGATTTGTGAGCCATGATGATTGCATGTTGATGGCTGGTGTCTTCAGTCTTTCCGGTGTTTCAATCTACAAAGTAATCATTTTTTCGAATTAGAAACGCCTTGACAACTGAGCAAAATTGATTCAGTTAAAACTTTCCCTCACTGTCCTCAGGAAAACAAACGGACAACTATGCAGTAGTCTGTCAGAAAAACAAAAAGACGCTTACTATCGGTCAGGCAGCCGTGAGACACTAAAAGTGAGCAAGAGATTATAAACTTTATAGTCTTTATATTCTCTTGAAGTGAGTGAACACCAAACGAGGGGATAGGTGTGAGCAGCTGATTAACTGTGGACGAATAACTCACACACAAACTAACAAAGTGACAAAGCGGATGCCTGAACGACAAACCAACTAAATACTCCGCTGACTTACAAAATTAAATAACTTTGGTAGAAAAATGGCCTCAGTTAATAGCTGATATCAAAACCAACCTGGTGACACACGTACATGTAGACGGAGTCCACTGATAACTTTCGTTCAAGCTCCCAGTATTTTTATCTCGGTTTTCCTCGGTCTCCTCTCTCTTCATAAACCATCACTCCAATTCGACATCAAATCAGAGGACAGAGAACCACTCCGTGGATTTGCCTCCACTAAATTCTATTCATTTCCTAACTTTCTACAACAAGCTATAGTACATCATCACATAGCTCACCCTGTAAACCGGAAGAGCCCTGTACACTGCCCCAGTATCCGGTGATCCTGACCTCGTACTCTCCAGATGAGAGTTGTAATGCTAAAACAAAGCAAGTAAGAAATTTTCTTGAGAATAAGATGAGACCTAAGTCACAATAAAAATCACTAGTAGGAAGATAAGACGTTACACTACCGAGGATACTGGACAGAAATAAGCTCTTCAAGTTCTCTTACGTTAAGTTTATAGTCATGTACAACTTTTAAACGAGCTGACAAGAAAAGTATGCAAATTGATGATGGGTATTGTAGAGGGGTTATGTGAAAACAACGTGGACAGTCTAAAATGTTACTTCTACCTTTGGTTTTGATAGAGAGTCGAAGAATTTCTTGTTTTCACCGGTTGGTTTAGTCTCCTTCTGAGCTGAATGACGGAACGGTAACCATCTGTAAAAGGAAAGAGGGAGGTGAAAGATTCACAATGTTACTCTTCGCTTACCTAGACATTAGTTGCGGTTACTGCAAATCCCCATGATGACCACTTAAGTTTAGCCTAAACTGACTTGCACATTCGCCTGAAATCATAACATGGTCGCCTTCACAATATGAATTTTGGTGGCTGGAATTTTTAAAAGACTTCCACAGCGGTGTAGTGACAGCTCTCACTCACTCACTTATCTCCCATTCCCCCAGAGGGGAAACGACTTCTAAACAGGATATTGTTCTGTGGATGGAGTGAGCGTTTCTCTCAATACGGAAGTTGTGTTTTATCAGCTCATTTGATAATGTAAATTAAAGCTGACGATAATTTAAATTAAGGCTAACGTTTAGAGCTTTAGCCCTAAGTCAGAGCAAAAGACTCTGTCGCTCTGACCAAGGGCTAACGCTCGAAACTCTTTACGGTGACCATTTTATATTATCACCTCAGTAAATAAACCAAATTATCTTGTAGTTTCCCAAGACCATCGTTTTGACCGTGCACAGAATCACGGAGCTTGGCATGGCTAGCTCAGCTGTTTTCGCTCTTAGGCTCAACGTTATTAAAACAGTGAAATGATGTGGTACCTTGTGTCATCGAACATCAACGGGCAGTCCACGGTACTATCTGTTGCCTTGGTAACGGTCTTGGTGGCTACGTTTTTTAGTGTTTTTATCGGACCCTGTGATGAAAAGACATGATACATCAGGAACTCGTTTTCCATCTTTGAAGAAAAAGTCTAATGGTCTTATTAGACAAGGAATACTATGCAAGCCTATTGTTTGTAGTTAGCTGGTGCTTCATGCTTGGAATCATGCATGAAAGTTGGAGGTCAGATCAGTTTGTTTCGCCACGTCCTCGTTGCCGTCGTCGACATGTTTTGCTTAATATCCTTATTAACTCTATAGAAGCAAATAATTGTAGCTTTCATTGACATATCGACTCTGCACCATACAGCAGAGCATCAATGCTTTAAACTCAGGCAGAGTTTGAATTTTATAATAATTCGAAAGATAGCAGAAATTAAACTCACTTCGTAACAATGACTCAATCACTCACCTAAAGGAGTAACTTTGTCTTCAAAAGGAAAATACTTTAAATTAAATTTCATTGTCCATGTTTACAAATAGCAGGATGAAAATATCAGGGTTGTTTTTATTTTTAATGGTGGTGCACTATGTGAGCTACACGAGACTTACCTCTGAGATGTCATACGGTCTGACAGGAGTGGAGGGAACAGATTTAACAGACGGCATATGCCACAGACGAGGCTGGCTAAAAAACCCGATGAAGTGACCGGTATCACGGTACCACACCCTTGGAACAGAAATAAGGAGAACATAATTCAGTCGTACATAATCATCACCCATTACACAAAACAGAAAAACTGAGTGCTCAGGTTTTTCCAAGTTGGATAAAGCTATCTCCTAAAGTCTATATAGGTGTTATGTGGATAGTGTTCTTCTAAAACTGGATTTCAAAGCAAGCGTTGTCTCGACTCTGGATGAATGGTTCGCATAATTACCTCATGATCGAAAAGGGGATGTGGCAAAGGCCGAGAGAACTCTTGCCGTGGGCGTGTTTTGAGGAGCTACGTTTTTAGCCGTTAAAGCTGCATGGTTTCTCCAATTTAGAGAACATTTCAAACAGCGTTCATTCCGATGACCCAAAACGCCGTTCTACTACGTGTGGAAGGAAAGGCCAGCCCAGGAGAAAAAAGATATTTTTAAAAGGCAAATTATGCCGAAGAGTTTTCGCCTTGAATCTCAGAAAGTCCGAGGAAACTCGCACTTAATTATTAGCTTGTGGTAAGTAACCACGCATCGTCTGAGAATAAGGCCAAACTTACCTAACGGAGACCTTAGAGATACCATAACACACTACTAGTAGTAAATGTTTAAATGAAAGTCAGAATTCTTTGTTAAGTTATTGGTCCATTAAGGACTGTTTCTTTGGCTGGCTCAAGTGATTCAAGTTACCTGACAGAACAATCCGTTGATGCAGACACGATTACGTCAGCGCTTTGCACGTGCTCTAGTCCAACAACACGAGTGAGGTGCCCTCGCCAACAAACAACTTGCTTGATCACATTCTGCAATAAACACATAAAGACGTTACTACTTATGCAAGGGTGAGTTATCGAACTTGGCGGGAGGTGATGCCACAGATTGTCACTTTAAAAAGCCAATTGTTTGCCATTATAACGGCTACAATTTACATCCCGTAAGTACACCAATGAACCTCTTCACTTAATTGTAAATGAGAGAAATTATCCACTCAAGAATTAACAACTCCACAGCTGACGCTGTGCCTGGGATACGCAAGAGCTTTTTCATTACAAGAAATTATCCCCTTCCTTCGTTGACACGCACAATCAGCGGTTTTACAAATACTTCTTGTATCCTTCATTAACCTATTAACTTAACATAAAATGGGAACAATGTCAAATGACAACGAAATCTAGAAACTTTCCGCCTTTGTCCTACCCCCAAGATAAATGAACAGAAGACAATGGAACGATTTTAGGGAAAGAATCAAACCTTATAGGCGGGGTTTAAAGCATAAATTAATTGTCTCACAGATTAAAATGAGGTGAGCGTGTGAGTGAGTGAATTTTAGGTCCATACCTTAACTTCTCCGTATATGGCTACGTCACATCATAAGGTAAAACATGGTACAATTTTCATTTTTTAATTAACAAATAGAGAAGCCTTAGCTGTGCTCCGTTCTGTTAT